CCCGGATATTTTTTAAATGAATGTGAAGTATGTGAAAATTAATGTTTTGGAACCAAAATAATGATCAATTTATTTTTAAATAATAAAAGTGAATAAGAGAAATGAAAATTGAGGAAAATTCTTGGAAAATCTTATATAGTTTTCCGAGGTTTGAATATTTATGAGCATCAAACGTATCATTTTAAAGGTTTTCGAAGGTGTACATTACGAATTAATTATACGGTTTTGAATATTTTCCAGAAAAATCTGTTTTATTTGAAATTTCTACATTTTAAATAAAAATTGAAATCGGATAAAAATAAAGAAGTAACAGGCTTGTATCACATTTAGGCGCGACATCACGAAGTGCTCGCCTGAAGGTGTATCGAATTTGATGAAACTTGGTTCTAAGATGTTTTAAAGGATGTTGAATGAGAATAACGTTATCTGCTTTTTGGAAAGAAAATCAATTAGCTGTTTTGACGTCAAAAAACGCGTCCTAGTTGGCCGTGTATTGCATTAATAGTTAGATCGTTTTTTTACCTTACTTTCTAAAAAAAAATTTTGAAATCGGCCAAAAAATAAAGAAGTTGCAGGCTTGTATCACATTTAAGCGCGACACCCTGTATATACAGGCTGAGATAGCATTAGGATATAAGAAACGGTAAGAGATACGGGGTGGCTCAATTTAGAGAAAAGTTGTGTTTTTTTATACCTAACAATACGCCGTTTAAAAAGTTTTAAAATTCCGGGTAGTTCCGGAGATATCCTGAAAAAACCGAAATTTAGTAAAATCGTTTTATTCTTTTTCTGGCTTTATTTGAAACCTATAGTCATTTTTGTGTGACATATGTTTTCTGACCTCAAAACCTACACTTTTCTACAAAAATATTTCAGAGTAAAAAAGTTCGCTGATTCCGTCTTTTTCTGTCTAACTTTCCTGGACTAATTTAGGGATTTTTAGTTGTACAGTACCAATCGTGCAATGCTGGTTGTCGATTACGTAATCTAAAGGCTTGTATTGCTATACAAAATAAAAAATGGTTTATTTGCCCCAACTTTGGTAAATAAAGCGTCTGATTAGTGCTGATCATTGGTGTCCAAACACTTTATCGTTTTCATGCTTACAATTGCTTTAATGCTACTATAAGTGATACTTGTGCTCCCACCAATTAAAAATTTAATTCCGGTTTCATTTTGGCTCGGAGCAATAATTCTTTTATCCAAAAAAATGTTCGGGAAGTGTTGAAAGCAATTCATGTTGCGTTCCTTCAACACGCCCAGATCAAAATTCGTCCCAAATTTTCTACCGGACCGTCCACAATCCGGCAACGGCGCCGTCCACTTCGGCCGCTCAATGGTTAGGCAGGCCGAGGTGAGATAATGAGGTAGAGCGCGTCTTATGGCCCGTCGCAGCGACCAGAAGAAGAAGGAGTTTTTGGAATTCCACCCGTTGTATCTTGTTAAGTCATCTTGACTCACGATCGGGAGCCGGGTTCAAGCGTTGCGAGAGAAGCCCGCTTCACACAGGAATAAAACGGGTATGGGAAGGCGAACGAGAACCTTTCGAGGGCCTTTCAGTGATATTTTTCCCATATTACCGCCTTTAGGTGCAAGTAGTTCTGTCAAACATTATTTAATATTGAAATCGTAGAAGGTATAAGGAAAAAACAAAAGCGTAAACAGTAAACATATCCGTAATCCGTATCTAGGTACGAAGTGTGTTACAAAAAGAGCAAGTGTTTTTATTCTAATTTCCTATTTACCTTTTGTGAATAGCAGATAAAGGGGGAAGAAATCTAAAACCACCAAAACACTTTTATGAGCCCATCTCTTGACTTTTACAGGACCTGTACCCACAATCCAAAGGTCGGCTGGCTCGGACTGTCCTTTGGTTTTCCTCTCACGTCCGAATTATTATTCAGGAGCCCGGTTGGATCCTGTGACCACCCCAAATATGATAATTCTCTGTTAAGTAACTTTCTACGCACATTCTGTAAATAATAGCCGGGCATGAGCTGTTATTTGAACAGGTTGTTTTTAAAACAATAGCACATGCAAGCAAACGTGTCTGATTAGAAGGGGTATAGATATTTACGACAAGTATGTTGCTATCCATCGAATTGTGTGGTGATTTCACTTTAAATTCTAAAATGACAGGAATTAAATTCTTGTTGAAAAAGATATACGTTGATCTATAATCTTTTTATTTCAAAATTTATAGAGCTTACAGCTTTGAAAAAGGAATATATTTTTTTATATTTCAGGAACCTATAAACAGATTTGAATGAAATTTGAAACAGTGCATCCTGAAAAATAATAAGATTAATAAGAGACGATTTTGATAGAATTTGAACAGTACCATTGAAATTTATTATTCTACAAATTAAGACATTTTTTCAATTAAAAGTAGCACTATATTTAAATCCTTTTAGAGCAAAATGCAGTTATTTTTTATACAGGGTGTTATACACGTGTTTCGAACCTTCGAACCACATCGTACCACAGAGATTTCGTTGATATTTGCCACTTGTTGAGACTAATTTACATTTTATAAAAGAAAAAATATACAAAAACTCTGTAAAAGCAATAAAAGTGTTATTGTTTATTTCAAAACGGTCAGAATAGGTCCAAAGAGACTACACACTTTTCAGATATGTCACCGCAATCGCTTGATAATTAATGACGGTATTCGTTTTTAACAAAATTAGTTTTATATTTTATCGCTAATTAATGGTGAAGTGTCCATCCTTACCCCACCCTCCGAAAAGAATACATTACCTAATTACATAACTGATATTTCTATTTGCTGAAGCTGAAAACGGTAGTCACCACCTAAAACATTTATTAACTTAATTAACAGGAAGCCTACGAATTAAAAAAATGGTAATTGGTTCTTGGAAATGTGTGCCTTTCCGATCGACTTTTTTTGCCTTCTCTTGGCGAAGTGAAATTTGCAGCTGAAATGGTTACAGAAAATAAATTGTTCATTATAAATTATTGATTATAATAGTTATTAACGACCTTGCCATGAAGTTTTTCTTCGGCATAATTTTGGAAAATGTTTAGAATGAATTGGTAAAATAAAACACCTTTAAGTAAATGTAAAATTAAACTTTAACAAAATAAAATCAAAACGTCAGGAAACAGGCGGGACACGAGACCTAGATGTCTCAAATAAATCTAGAATAACAGCCAGATTCCACGACGGGGCAGCCAACAGTCATAAATCACCCGAATGTCAGATGTCAGGATTCGACTCGAACAGCACTTCCCGAGAATTAGCGGAGCCACCATGACCCGGGAGCGAACGTCGACTTTGGTACCTCGCAGTTCTAAAACCAGAGCATAAGTCTCTGACCGTTGTGTTTAGACGACCCGAATTCAATCGTATTCGTTGCCTTTCAATACCTTGGAGCCGTCCTTGCTTATTTAAAGAGAATAAGTTCCAAGACTATGCTGAGACAATTTTCTTCGAATTCGTTCATCGAATTCCGCCTTTTATCACATACCTAGTTGCAGATAAGGCCAGCATTTACCGGTAACGTGATAAGTGCCAATCCCGCTAAACATGGGACAATCGCCCATGGCCACCTCTGTTCCCAAAAAATCCGCGCGCCGAGAAGCTGGCTCGTTAGCGGCGGAGGTCCGGGGCAGGATTCCGCTCACGTCCGCGTTTAAGACGTCACGTGGCCCGCCGACAAAGCGGCGTCCGAGGCCCTGCTCCGCTCGCAAAAACCCGCCCGCTCGCCTTCTTGATCTGGACGGCCGCAAAAAACCCGGCCAACTGCGTTGTGGTGCAGTCAATGGAGTACTTTATGGGGCTTCTGCCGAGCCAAATGGGCTGCTTACTATCGTCATTTGAATAAATGTAGAGAAAGGAGACAGCAAGAAGATGCCATTGGCCTTGCGATCACCACCACAGAAAAAAGTTACGTACCTAAAAATTGGACAATGTCCTGCACTTAATCCCATTTAAAACAAATTTTAAACATTAAAATAGAAAGCAGTTATTAAAAGGTAAGATCTGACCTTGAAGTGCGCCATCTAGGAGTGAAAATAACTACTGAAATAATTAATACAACCTCAAATTCTTAAGGATTGACTAACAGTGGTTGTTTAAAATTCATAATCGAAATAATTAATAAAAAATTCCTCTATATGCAATTCACTAAAATCAAGTCACCTCCAAAACTCGTTGTTGCGTAATATTCTTTTTAAAAAAGGCCTTTCCGTACGCTTACACTGGTAATTTAATTTTAGAAGATAGAACTAACAGGAGCAACGAAAAGCTTGTTTCTCTAATGCTTTTTTAATGAGTTAATCGTGCCAAGTTGCTTCAATTTACCAAGAAACGCATTAACAAGGGACAAGGCCTTGAGCAGAGCGTTCATCGTCATAATTTTGATTGTAAATTGTTTCTATGTACAAACAGACATTATGCTATCAATTTAGTACGAAAAATAGTAACATAATAACGAAAAACTAATGAATAATTGTTTATCTTAATCAAGAATCCATAAAAATTAATCTAATTACCATTAACGTGATACAAAACATACATATATCCTTTTTTGAACTCGTTATAATGTCAGTTGTTCATATTGTTAAATTATAATGGCATTAAACTACGCATTTTTCGTTTACAGAACTGTTTTAGTAAAACAAATGTAAAGGATCTATTTCAAAATTGTTCGAAAGTATGCAACAGTTTTTATTAAAATCTGCTTTGTGGGTTGCATACAATCAGGCTTCTAATCATTCAAATGTTATTTAAAGAAATGTAAAACTAACAATGAACGCAGGTTAGCTCTCTAACTATATGCTTCAACGTTTTTAAAAATATTTTGATATTAGCTAAAACTAGAATCCAGGCTGTTTTTAAACCGTCCAAAAAATAATTCTTATGCAACCAGTTACACTCAAAAGATATCAAAGTGATCAGGACCACGCCTAATCGTACCGCACATCTGGTTGCCTAGCTTAAGGGGCGGAAACGAATGCAGCAAATAAAAACGACCCTATCAAAACATATTTATTCAACTGTCAGTACATTATAAAAGTGGAATGCTTCGGAATGCACAATTAAACTTAACAAAACTCCCACGACTCGCGACTCCATCTATTTCTTATAGACGTAGCTCTCAGAGCCGCCACGTCCGAAACCTCCAGGGCCGTAGAGCGACGAGTAGCAGGGGTTGTGGCAGTAGGGCTTGCCCTCGTGTTCGGCGTGCGACCCCGGGGCCAGGGTCTTGTTGCACTTTTCGCAGCGCAGGCAGGCCGAGTGCCAGTCCTTGCCCAAGGAGGTCTTCCTCTCCGCTAAAATAAAAAATATAGTTACTAGTTTTCCTGGGCCAAGTAACTGGTATAAGGATTGTTAAAAGAATAGAGCAGGGTCAAGAAAATTATTACATGTTTACATTGTAGAGGTACTAATAGTTCAAAAGTTACAGCGTGTTAAAATTTAAAAAATCACGGTTTATTTTATCATATACAGGGTGGTCCGAATTTTATGCAGGAAACTTCGAGGGCAGATGGATCTCTTTAAAATAATAACTGTTTGCCTTATAAACATTGGTCTGGAACAGCGTCGTTTTAGAGATACAGGGTGTTGAAGTTGTTAAAAAAAATTGATTTTTTGTTTATATCTCAGGAATCTATGAATCGATCTCGATAAAATTTGGAACAGATAATTTATGATAGTAGGCCTTGTATTCTCTAAAAATATGAGCTCTAAAGGTACAACCAGTGATGTACTGAGCAGGGGGTCATCAATAATTTTTTTTAACGTCAACACCCTGTATCTCTAGAACGGGGCTGTTCCAGACCAAAGTTTATAAGGCAAAGAGATCTATCTGCCCTCGAAGTTTCCTGCATAAAATTTGGACCACCCTGTATATGCTTTTCAATCAAAGGTTACTATTAAGTTTTGTGCCAGTAGAATAAACAACTTCAAAAAATCCGATAGGTTAAAATATGGATAATAAGGAGGCAGTGTAATGGGAATTGGATGATGGTCGTTTAAACGTTAAAGTTTTTGCAGTGTTCACGAGTTACGAAATAATAATGCAATTAGACACTATCAGAGACACGTCATGTGTAAGTAAACTCATTAAATCCAGATAGCAGATAATTTATTACATTCGACACTTGTCCATCAACGCTTTTCGCGGTACCAGCTGTCATGGTTTATTCTTGGATATTACTAGGAATGTATCAAGCAGGCTATGAAGTGGGCATGTTCTTCATAGAAAATAAGTGCTCAATCTTTAGATAAGATATTCACCGAATCAAACACTGATTATCGTTATCAGCATATACTTTGGAAAATTTTATGAAAAAAGTATATATTTCTCAATTCATTTCTCTTATTTATTTACACCCTGTATATACGATCCGTGAATAATACTGAACTAGCCCATATACAGAGTGACCCATTTGAAAGCGGGCCACCCTCATAACATTTTTATTTATGGAGCGATTTTGACGAATTTTTTTTTGAAATGTAGGGGGGGGTAAAGTGTATTTTGGGGCCAAGCGCCGTCCAGTTCTTTTTTAAACTAAGGCCTACTAGATCACTTTCAGGGGCTGGAAAATCCAGAATCCATATTAGCGATTTTTTTAGAAGAAATTTGCGTACGCCACTGGATTCGGCGTCCCCTGAAATGGATCTGTACCAAATTTCATGAAAAAATATTGAACATTAACGATTCTGCGGCTAAATTGCTGTCAAATTGTTTATTATGCATAAAGAAACTTTTTATCTAGTAACCCATGCGATAATAAATCAATCACAACAAATATTTAATAACACGTTTAATAGACATCATTATACCAAAATACAATGAAACAGACAGAAAAATGAACGAGAAATTAACATAAAATTTACAAAAAATACAATAAAATAAAATTAACACACATGAATTAAATTAAATTCTGGAATTTTCAACTAAATCTTCATTTAATTGAATGCATTTATTGTATTGTTTTTGAATGTGTGCCATAACATTAGACAATTGATGTGTTGTAATTTCAGCGCATGCCTATCTTCTTCTTTCGCGCAGTTCTTCTGCATTCATTGGACGAGTGTAGTAAACTTTTTCTTTAATGAACCCCCATAAAAAAAATCTAGGAGAGGCAACATTTACAAAAATATTCATTCAATTAAATGGAGATTTAGTTGAAAATTCCAGAATTTAATTTAATTCATGTGTGTTAATTTTATTTTATTGTATTTTTTGTAAATTTTATGTTAATTTCTCGTTCATTTTTCTGTCTGTTTCATTGTATTTTGGTATAATGATGTCTATTAAACGTGTTATTAAATATTTGTTGTGATTGATTTATTATCGCATGGGTTACTAGATAAAAAGTTTCTTTATGCATAATAAACAATTTGACAGCAATTTAACCGCAGAATCGTTAATGTTGAATATTTTTTCATGAAATTTGGTACAGATCCATTTCAGGGGACGCCGAATCCAGTGGCGTACGTAGATTTTTTCTAAAAAAATCGCTAATATAGATTCTGGATTTTTCAGCCTCTGAATGTGATCTAGTAGGCCTTAGTTTAAAAAAGAACTGAACGGCGCTTGGCCCCAAAATACACTTTTCCCCCCCGTACATTTCAAAAAAAAATTCGTCAAAATCGCTTCATAAATAAAAATGTTATGAGGGTGGCCCGCTTTCAAATGGGTCACTCTGTATGTAAAATGTCCAACCATTCAGAATGTCGCTTTTAAGCGATGACTTAATTTGTTAACATTAGACACACCTCGACGTTTCCTTTTCGTTCGGGATTGTCAGCGTGTATATTATGTAATCGATTTAGAATACCAAATAGATTCGGTTGGAATGGTAACGGATTTGGTACGGAAAAGGGGTCCGAGTGGGACAGGAAATTAGATTCGACGATAGCAATGGAAAAGAACAGCAGCAGGTGCGAATGCCTTCTTGAGGAAGTTGTCCTCATAGGAACGTAGAATTATTATTTAGCTTAAATTAATAGATAGGTTTAAAGGTTAAGTTAGGCTGACAACAGTTACAAGGAACAATGATTAAAGATGTTAATAAAATATAACAAAATAAATACAATTATGCAATGTAGAACAAATATTTTAACTTTATAATGTCATCTACCACTTGCTAATAATGTGTAACCGCAACTTGCCTGTCATACACAGGGTGTACCATAATTAGTGTGCAATACTTTAGCAGTAGATTCTACGAGCAAAAATAAGATTATTTTTCCGTATAAACAAGGGTCGAAAAATGCTTCCTAAGATAGTTAGGAGATCATATTTTTCAAAATATTTCCAAAACCAGTTAACGTATCAATATGAATTTTGGTATGTTGGACACTCATTGAATGTTCTAACAAACTACACGAAAACTGTTTAGTCAGGGGTGTCTCAAGCAGGGGGGCTCACGGGTAAAATGCGCCCCCAAATTTTTGCATGTCAATATTTTCAAATTTAAACATCAAACTTATGATATAATTAATTATAATATAACAGATATCGTACATAAATGGACTTCTTTTTTTATCAAAGTTCACTGGATCATTAGTAGGACCCTTACATGCGGAAAGAAAAAAGCTTTGATAAATAAAATGTTATCGAAACCTTGGCATAATAGCCTATATCTAAACCTCCTACATATTTACTGTTTAATAAATACCAGGCAATGTATCTAGAGAAAGAGATTGGTAGGAAAATGTTAGACATTTGTTTATGAACAGATTCATTTGTTGGAAGTGGTTTTCAAAATAGTATACAGGGTGTTAGAAGTTTGACTGCCTTAATTTTAACAGACGATAGAATATATTAAAATAAAAAAAAAACTGGGTCCTAAACTCCCATTTCCGAGAAAAAATGATCAAAATCTCCAATCTGATGTACAAAAGTTCGATTAATTGAGGAATATTGACATAACTGCGTGCACAACACTATCTTCGTAGTACAAAATCGATACATTTTATTTTATTTATTTAAAAACTGGAAAACAATTGTCTTGGAATTTACTAAATGTTTCACAATAAAAGCTGTTTACATTTTTTCCGCAGGGCAAGTCTGTCGCGTGTACACGCGATGTGCATCTGCAGGTTAAGCGCTGTTGTCACGTTGTGATGAAACTCCCCAATATTAATACTCGCTGTATTTTGAAAACTGTTAATCTTACGCCCCTGTAATATACAACTTTTTTGTTCATTAATCATGCTGAAGTAATGGCAGTGAAACTTCTTACACCCTGTATAACGAAAATGTTAAGAATAAGTATTTTTATACCAAAATGCAACATGATATTTTAAAAACTACTGTACTTATAAGAACAACCATTAAAATCCATAAAAAAAATTTAATAATAATCTCCTGATAACTATTTAGGTTATAGAGGAATGTCCCTAACATTTTACCATACGTTTTAGTATTACCAAATCCACCATCATATTTGGCGAATATTGTTAAATATTTGAGGCTCGAGTGGCTCAACGATGACCAAATAAAAAAACTAGTCGAGAATTACCACATCTGTGAACTCACATTCAAATAAAAGGAAGGTCAAGATCGATTCTCTTATATTAATAATAATATGATCCAAACAAGTACGGTATGACTCAGTATTTTGTTAGTTGAATTGACCTTAACCTAAAAGTCGATTCGAGCCTTTAACAGTATTCATAAGTCAGAGTCGGAGCAGTCATTAAAAGTTATCGGCTATATGGCAATTACAACACGGAAAATAGTTTTAAAAAAACTAAAAATATTATAATGTAAAGTGTTATCAACGACATTGGCAATTTCAGCTAATTGTCACAAGCAAATGCGCTTAAAAATACCTTTCTGGTCTTATTATGTAAGGAAAACCTTTGATGATATTATTTTGTTCACGAATAATACTGCTGTAACCTCCTCATGACATTGCTTCAAAAAATGATTCTTAAGATAAATATGAGTAGAAATTGTACTACTCGGACTCACTACGCAGCAATGGTTTTCCCCCTCAAGGTTAAAATGATGATAACGACATGGATTATAAAGTTTGCACGTACTGCTACAAAACACCCGTAGAAAATCAATTTTCTGCAAACATGGATACAAAATTTGGTTTTGAATAAAAATGAAATTGCGGTTATTTAAATTTAGTTCTTAAATTAGATATTTGTTACTATTTACTCTACTAATTCAGAAACCATGCCCACAAAATCAGATACACATCGAAGTTAAATCTAGTAGTGATTTCCCTTTCAATGGATTTGTTTATTCTTAGATGATTCCGAGATAGACATTACTTAAAACGAAAGGTAAAGTAAGAAAGGCTTACAAGAGCATATAATATGTGTTATATGATAAAAGACGGTAAATAACTAAGACGAGCTCTAGTATGTTTAACAACGTTATGTTTGCATTTCTAATTGAAAAACTAGTTCTCATATCTGTGGAATTTTGTTTACCATACTGCAAGAGGCTGTCATAGAGGAATCTTCTGATGCAACCCCATTCGGGGATCGAGAATGAAAGACGCTTATAATGTTTGGATTTAATTTGTTGATTTTTTGAAATCGACCAATGAAAAAGAAATCACAAAACTCGATTATTTATTATTTAAAAGAAACTAAAGTGGACCAAAACAGTGATACTATTTCAAGCAATGTTCTCACGTACCTATGCTGTACGATGACATCATCGGTTTATTATTTATGTAGTGAAATGTGTTTTTCACGTTACGATCAGTTTTGAATTCAAATATGCGACGACTGTTAGTAATTTCATGATACATGACACCAGCAGCATAAATAGTGAAATTGAAATAAGTACGTCTTAATTATAATAACAGCTGATATCACCATTTATATTTTTCAGGACTTGCTGTTGCTGAAGAGAAAGTTAATTATCCGAATGAAATCAAACCGAGGAAAACGATTATTGTTATAGTTATTACAAGAAAATACGGTTAAACATAAAGATGTAACAACCGTTATTTAAAATTTCTATATTTTTGTAGTTCCTTCTCTTTTTGTCACTGGAAAACAAAATTATAATAGATGTTCACTTCAAAAGCTATTCTGGAAAGAAAAAGGGAATTATATTTGAATCAAAATATCATAATCATGAAGAAAATTTCCAAATTATATTTTATTTAAATATTTAAAAGATTATACACAGGTACTTCATTATATCAATACTCAAATTTTATATCGCAATTTACGTTTTATCTAGGTACCTTTGTCATAGTATAAATAACAGGGATTATGTTGAGATTATATTCTAAATACTCGTATTACTAATATTTAGAACATTTCTAAAAATAGTCCTACAATTTACAACAATCATGTCAATTTTGGTCATACAAAATAATGTAACATGTTTATTTTAAAAAATGTAAATATACAAACTTTAATGAAATGTTCTGAATAGGTCACGTTATTTTTTGAAAAAAATATCCTGAATATGCCGACGAAAATATGTTTTTCATATTTACAAAAAGTAATAAAAAGATTCTATCCCAAGAATTATTTCAAATAGTCTTTTGCAATGTTTTAATTTTGGTAATAAATATATTAAAAAATATTAACGTATCATGGTTATATAGATTCGTAAATTTGCAATCAAAAACAGGTCTTTTATTCGTAAATGGGATGGAAAAACATTTGGTCTAGAAAATAATTGCTATTTTTGGTTTTGTTATACTCTCAGTATTATTTTCTTCTCTAATTAAAATGTGTTTTTATTTGAAAAATACTAATGTTTAAACAATAATTTACTAAAAAAAATTGCAGAGGTAAAAATTCAAATATTTCGTATTGGTACCGGTAATTTCGTTTAGCTGTGAAGATTGTTTAGGGCATAAAGATGAAAGTTAGGTTGTTACGTACCGAAATAAACAGGTTTCTCACATCTCGGGCAGTTGGGCATCTTGAAAATATCAATTCCTGCTAACTTATACACCAAGTCGAATAATACTGACTCGGCTCGAGCTCGAGCAGTAAGCTTTTGCTGAGCTACACAATTTAGTTTGATAGACCAAGGTGTAAGTGAAGTAGGTGGGGTCAAGCTCTTCATAGGGAAAAGCTCTCACCTTCCAAGAGAATTAATTTATTTTGTAAAATAGCGATATAAGTACATTTAAAAAAAATTCTTAAAGCCTACATTCTACTTTTCTTAAATATTATGTGTATGTAAGATTACGAAAACACAACATTCTGTTTTACTGGCTGGTTATTTTATTCAACTAATCGGCAACCTTGAGGTCATCGTTCATTGTAAACGAATCATAATGACAGATGACGATTTACGGATTTTTAGGTGACAGTACCTATAGTGCAGAGTTGGTAAGCCATCATACCCATAGAGTAGTTGTTTCCCGTAATATCCTCAATTAAGAATGTTGTCTTTGAGATTAGATATCATTTGCATACTAGGTTTTTGGTATGCAAGAACATTGTCTTCATTTGATAAATTTTCTTAAAACAAATTAATTTTTTGAATACCTTTGAAATGAAATAACAGCATCTACATTTATACAGGATGTAAGAAGTTTGACTGCCATTACTTCGGCATGAGATAGAGTAATCATAAATGAACAAAAAACTTATATTTTACAGGGGCGTAAGATTAACAGTTTTCAAAATACAGCGAGTATTAATATTGGGGAGTTTCATCACAACGTGACAACAGCGCTTAACCTAACGCTACACATCTGATGCATACCACGTGTGCAGACGGCAGACTTGTCCTACGGAAAAAATGTAAACAGCTATTATTGTGAAACATTTAGTAAATTTCAAGATAATTTTCCAGTTTTTAAATAAATAAAATAAAATGTATCGATATTGTAGTACGAACATGTGTTGTGCTTAAATTTTAGTTCGAATTTTAGTAATTATGAATCTCTTAAAGCAGGAATTTAACTTTTAATCAAATTATGAATTTGAAAACAATCATACGTTGTAAAAATAATTTAGGTACTTACTAAAAAGCAAAGTTTAGTAATTTTTAAACGCACAAGTACAAAACAAACTATAACATATGCTCAAAATGTCCACCACCATTTTCGATGCACGCACGACACCTTCGAATCCAGTTTTCGCGCACTCGCTGGAAAACGCCTTAAGAAAAGGAAATAGTTTAACGCAAAAAACACTCATACACGGTCCAATTCCAGATACCAACTGAATTGCGTATTGCTGGACAGTTTAGTACCTCGTGTTATCCGCCGCGCCGTTGTCACATTGCTCGATATGAATTTTATCGAATTTTAAATTTATTATAACGCTAATTATTTTTTAGAATTAAAGAATTCAAAAAAAATTATAAATATTGTTATACAATATCCATATTGTTTATATTAATGTATTCTATCGTCTGTTAAAATTAAGGCAATCTAAGTTCTAACACCCTGTATAGAAGAATATTTTATCATTCTTTTTAATACCCATCCATATTGCCAAATAATGTTATTGTTTCGAATTATCAGTGTTGTTCGATGTTTTCTTCATGTCGAAGTGAAAAGTGAAATCCTTTTGATAGTCCAGATAACGCAGGAGGAGACATAATTTATTACCGATATAATCTGAGGAAAAGTATGATAAAGCGTTTCACATATTTATTATATCGGGCTATGAATAAAAATAAGGAAAGTAATCTTAATGTTGATTCACCTTTTTTAAATTTTCCTTATTATTATTTTGTCAAACTACCTACGTTGTGTAAGGAGAAGTTGAGGTAATAATATTTATATCTGCTGTTGTATTATTATTAAAAGAGACAAATAAACAAATTTAAACTGTCAAAATTAACAAATTCTATTCTCCTTTAGATATTGTAGGATAGATAAAACTGTTTGCAGAATGAGAAGGTAAATAGTTGATAACCAGCTCCTAACCATAGTGATTCTTTTTTTAGAAATTATGGAAACATCGTTATACTTTTGCTGGGGCTGAAAGCAAGAAATATTATATTATAAAACATGTATTCCGGAAAATCAATTGGATATTATCTAATCTCTTTTATGGCATAATTCAATTTTTATTAATGACATTAATAATTTCTCTGCTTACCTACTCAGTTTGTGTTGAAATTATTGACTTTGATCACATTTCGTTATCATCATCGGACTAATTCATTATCATTGTTGCAATATGTCATAAAATAATATATGTACAAATATGTATAGACTTTACCATTAATATCCATTAATATTCAAGTTGTAATTAGGTAATATTAGCAATTATACTAATTATTATTATGAGCTGAGTGACTGAGAATGGTATTTGAAAATGGAAGATGTATTAAATCAAATTTCGATATTATTATGTGACGTACGCAACAGAAAGGTCTTTAGAAAGCCTTCAGAAGGTTTGGGGTTAAAAAATGAAATCTCTTCACCCGGAAACTTTTAGCGTTTACTTGTGTATTGTTTTGAGTATCTAATTATTCAATAAACTGTGATGTAAATCTTTATTAAACCAAACCGCAAGGTTGGAACGTAGGTGTTAGTGACAAACTTTTGCATCAAAGTTATTTTTGTATATTATATTTCACTAAAAAGGAATGTTGAAAAATTTACAATTACGAGGTCTGTTGAGAAAATAACCGAGCTTTCGTTTCTCGTTCTGATCCTTTGAATGAACGTTTCATCATCATTATTCAAGGAGTTGCCGACAAACGTCCACACGATTTTCTTTCTGTTGTTCGTCCATCAAACGAGGAACAGACTTTGCTGCAACTCGATGGACATTCAATTTTTCAATCAAAATAACCTAATTGAGATGCTAACCGCTTCTGCAATTTCTCTGACAGTCAATCGGCGATTTGCATGCACCAGATCTTTAACTGTCTGAAGATGAGAGTCATCAGTTGAAGTCGCAGGCCTTCCTGGTTGAGGATCATCTTCAACTGACTGACCACCACTTTTAAGTCGTGAAAACTATTCGTAAGATTGCGTATGACCCAGAGCATCATCTCCGTAAGCTTATTTCAAAAGTTGAAACGTTCCCGTGAAAGTTTTTGAAGTACCTATTAGTAATTTTTTATTATTAAGTTTTAAAGATGTTAGTATTCGGATATAAAAATTTGTAGATAAAACACACTTATCACTAGTTTTAGTTTTAACGACCAAAATAATTTCTTATCTACAATTATTTTAAAAGAATGGACAATCTTTTAAAAATAAAGTAGTAATCAATATCTTTGTACTCAAAACTGACAACTTTCTTGAAAAAATATTAATCACTTTCTACTACTTATATTGATAAATAAATAGTTACATTACAATTTAAAATAATACGTATGCACATGACTGTAGGTATTTTATGTATAAAAATATTGAAGTATATCCCCTTCCAGGAAGGCCTTCGACTTTCAAATCTTCTACTGACTAGGTAGCAAAGAAATTGCAAAAGAGGTTAGCAGTGTTAGCACCTTAGGTCATGCCATGAAATTTTGACTAAAAAAATTGAACATGCACCGAGTTGCAGCAAAATTTGTTCCTCAATTAATGTCCGAAAGAAAGTTAATAATTGAATTTAGATAAGTGTCAGTTATCTGTGTGCTGTAAAAAAAAATACTCAATAATGTCTCAATTTCTGTCCACAGAATCCCGATTTAGTGAAATTTTCACTATATTGCAACATGATAAAAGTGAGCGAATGTTACGCAAATCCGAGTTTTTGCTGTCAAATGAGTGACTTTATTCTGAGCATGTAAAACCAATTAATAGTTGACTTTTTCTCTAATACGATTTATGATTTAAATTGAGCTATTATTGAATAATTTTGTACTATGAAAATTTCCAAGGGGGTAGCGCCCCAGAGCTCCTCCGCACCTGCCGCCGCTGATTCCATTTCATTAATATTGGGAATAGTTTTGTACCATTTTATATTCTCTTTAAATTTTAATTTAAATTTCATTGTATTAAAGTCACAAACTACTAAGCTGTCACTGTGGTTTCTACACAGATTTGTTTTAGAGACAATATTTTAGGTCTCGATTAAAGGAATTGTTTAACTGATCGGACGAATAGATTGCCATAACCTATATTGTATAGTCTTTCCGAAGTCAGTTGAACATGTATAAAAAAAACGAGTAATCAGATTTAATGAGTTTCACAATTTTATTATATTGATGGTAAATTTCGTTTTGTTCCGTTTCAAAAGGTCTCTAAAATGCCATGTTGTAATAATATTATTTCTCCCTTTCGCAATTGTAATATCAATGATTAATAGGTGCCTATAAAAAATTAAAATTACCTGTATCACACCAAATTCCCTATTGCTGCACTGCACTGCCAGGCGACTTGTCGACAACTGAAATTTATGACGCAGTTGACCAAAGCAACAGTACGTATTGCTGTTTGCCCGCACGCTCATTCTTCAACTGGGCGTATACATTTCTACCACATGTACGTTTAGTTCGACCAGACCTGTATATGGGTATGACTAAATTGTATGGGAACAAGATTTTAAAATATTTCAATGCCGAGTTGCTGCATCAACGACCAAACTTGGTACATACTGTTATCCTCTTGGTTCTTCAATTGATATCGGAAAGACTATACGTTACAGATACGTAAGTAAGTATAAGTAACAATTTAACTATCCGTTTATTTAACCAAATATTAATCGAGACTATTATTGATTTTAATTATTGTAATTTATACATAATTTTCTCCTAAATAACCGGATTAACGGGGACCTGTCCAGCACTACACGCCAAACACCACAGCACGAGATGACCTAATGGGGACGATGGGAATAGACAAAGACAACGCACGACAACCATAGCATGGGGTGGAGTCACTGAGGACATTTACTGCGATTTAGCTACAAGTGCACCAAATACGAGTTTATTTACAGAATTTATTTAACGAGTACGAATATTTGAGTGAAAGTACTTAGTTGTACTTCAAATATTATCACAAATGAGTAAAATTATCAAAATGCTCAATATTGAGTGAAAATGTATTCAGTAATTTTCCTCACTCAATGGAATTACTTCGTACCTTTATTGCTTTCACTCACACCTTTTTTTACAGTGTATTTGTAGCAAGATATATTTGCTGACATTGTCTTAAAACTCATCATCCTATCCGCCTCCATTTATGATTTCTCATCGCGTCACGTCACCTTATAAGTTTATCCTTCGGGTCCTAGTCGTTTCTACTACCACACTTACCTCAAGACAAGGCCGTTACCGTTGCGAGAATCAAAGAGAATCATGTAAGACGTAATTTATTGTAAAAATATGTTTGTACATAAAATAAAAATGTATTTTTAATTTCCGGAACCTTTCGACATCCGCAAGCTTTTCAGTGTTTTGGTGGATGCCAACGTATTCGTCTTCGCTTCTCCCACCTCACTCTTAGATTTCACCGACTCCTGATCGCAGCTACTCAAGCTCTTGGATTTAGTCGATTTCTGATCGTCACCGTTCGCCTTCGTCTGCCCCTTCGGTTCTTCCTTGCACGCGACCGAAGTCTTGGACTTTACCGACCCCTGGCTGCTACATTTCGAACTCCCCTTCGCGTCGTCCCCGCCGCCCCTCTCACTGCAAGACGTCCTAGAAGATCTGACGGAACACTTGCACCAATCGTCTGCTTTGCCGCTCTTGGCATCGCCGCCGCTCTTGTTGCTCCTGTACGACGGCAGATCGTGAACGTCTTCCTCTTTGTTGGGATTCGACTTTGGGGGAGGAACTTCCGCGGCTCTCTCCGTTTCCTTAACCTCCTTTGCCGGCTCCTGTGGGCACTCCCACACGAAGACGCCTCCGGAAGCGTCGCAGGTCACGATGAACTTGCCGTTGGCGCTAAAACGGGTGCAGGTTATTACGGCCGCGTGACCGATCCCAATGTGCGTCGTTATGCCTAGAATGAGGAGAGAAAATCGTGTTATCCGAACCAAAAACCGATGCCCTTTGTTTTTTGACTGACCGAAAAGCGGTATTTATATCAATAAGCGACTTACATGAAAATTTCTTTGAAAAGAAAGAAGATAAAATAGAACTTTCATGAAAAGAACGCATTGTGACGTCATTCAGTGCGTCCTAGAACGCAACTGGCTTCTCGGCCCTCTGCCGTCTAATCTGCAATTCCTGTGCTGACGGGACGGAAACTAATCTAAAGAAATGTCATTTATCTTCTCGATCGCACTGAGTGACGTCACGAATTAGCGCGGTAGCAATTGACGCGTCATATGAGGGGTTTTATACCATATACGTGGTAATGGTGTGTTCCTCCTAAGATCATAAACAATGGGGGAACATAAAATAGTTACGAACCTTCTTGATACCTCCACAACTTGACCAATTGGTCATTGCCTCCGCTCACGAATTTCTCTCCATCCGGGCAAATGTCGAGGGTGTTAACAGTGGCCGAGGGCGACCCTTCCAGCTCCCTCACCAGATTGCCGTCGAGAACTTCCCAATACACAACTTTCCTGTCGGAACCACCTACCACGAACAAAAGAGTTGGTCCAGTCAACCGTAAATTTATTAAAGTGAAGTTGCAGTAGTTCATTTGCATCTAAGATCCAAAAGAAACCGACCCATCAAAAACGTCACGTACCTGTAAGTATTTGCACCCCGCTGGGATAGTACCTCACGCACATGAACAGCGTGTTGGCGAACAGTATCTGCCTCCGGCACTGCTTCTCCAGGTCCCAGATGATGCAGGTGCCGTCCGTGCTGGCGCTGGCCGCCTCGTTGTCGAACTTGTTGATGTCGATGGCGGAAACCGGGCCCTTGTGCTCCTTCAGCGTGCAGATCAGCTGCTGGCGGTAGGGCGACACCTCCCACAGCCTGACCTGGCCCTCGCAGCCGCCGCTGACGAGATTGCGGCCGTGGGAGGTGGTGGTCAGCGCCGAGACGCCCTTGTTGTGGGCGCTGTATATGGCGTAGATAAGGCGGCCGGTGAGCGGCGTGAAGGAACGGATCACGCCGTCGTTCCACGCGGTGAGGATCGACTTGCCGTTGTGGGAGAACACCACGCTGGAGCAGCTGAAGTTGGGCACGCGGATGCGGAGGAGTTCCTGCATTGTGCTCATGGACCAGACGCGCACGTCGTGCTTGCCGGCCGTGGCGAACACTTCGGAGAAGTTCCTGGGGAAGATATTATTCCTCGAGTAGCACTGACTTGCAAAATATAAAGAAGAAGAAGAAATACTTACTGAGGAAATGCGACGTCATAGATGGCTGAAGTGTGACAAGTCACAACCAGTTCACCTCTGAAATCGTCCATCCTGATCACGTATATCTCCGAGTTGGTGGTGGCGGCCAAGATCTTGGTCTCCTGTTCCATGAGCTGGATGGAGGTTATCGACGAATTGACGTTCGTAGATTTGAGGACTCTAAGCGCAGGCACGGACGGCATTTTAATGTTCGTCTCAATTGGTGGCCGTACAGCCGCTTCTTCCACCACCTCCAGAGTACCGTCGCCCGCTCCTATTATGAGGTTCCCATTGAATAGAAGTCTTATAGATCGTATTCCTGAAATTAGAACCGAATAAACATAATTCAATGCAGGTCTATTTGTAGGTGTGGCATTTTCCATTACAGTGACTCTAGAGCCCTATCCCGCTGAAATATGAAGCGCCATCTGTTATTTCTGTGCAATTCTTATAACTTACCTCCTCGGTACAGGTCGACGCAGCCTCGCGGAAGCTTCTTTTTGGTTATCCGTGCGAGACAGCCCACCACGGCAGGCTGCTTAACAGGATCCAGCATTTCGGCGTCGTGATGGTAATATAACCTCACTTTAAGAACGTCTCCAGTAGTAGTACCGCAATAGCAGAACTACAGAAATTGTAATTGCCTAATTAGAAATATATATCGTTTAACGTACTTGTAAACTAGTACAATAAAAGCTTCGCAATAGTTTTGAACGAGATTTTCCTCCTGTGAATTAATTTATGGCTTTATATAATTTAACATACCTCATCTCTCTCATTGATATCCAAACACACCACATTCCTCTTTAATTTGGGCATAGAGACGTCGAATGATTTCAAATTCCTCGCCTCCTGGTTGATCTTCCACAAGGCTAGGTGGTTGTCGCCCGCAGTCAAGAAGCAAGCGCCCCTCCTAGTCATTGTTTGAATACAAGTGGGATCTCCCTGGACTCCTCGAGATACTTGAGAGCCGCATAGTACCTACAATAACAAATATAATACAGACTCCTAAATCGGAAACACTGAAATCCATCGCCCATTAATGTCTAACATATCACTTTCCCCTCGTAGATAATTCATGTTACGAGGGTCTAACGATGAGATTTACTTTCAATAACCGTTTAAATTTGGTAATATTTTTATCTCTACTACCTGGCCCTTATGCATGTCCCAAACCACTGCAGTGCCACAATCTCGCCCTCCCAGACTTATTACATAGTGTTCGTCTTTGGAGAAAGCCACAGCTTCGACTCTAACCTTGTGATGCTCGTGCTGGGCTAGTAATTCCTGTTTTTCGAAGTCCCAAATTATCACTCTGGCCTGAAATTACGTAAAATATTTGACAAAATAATACATTTTTGCAGGAATAGAACTCAAAACAACAAACAACTGCGATTGACAAATTATTTATATAATCTCTTCTCAAAATATATTAAAACTAATTAACTGCATTAATTAAAAGTTCAAACTTATATTTTGAGGTTGGCTAAAAGGATGTTGCCTCAAAATGGCGGTTGTTGACTGCGGTGCTTTATCAATCTAGGGACATTATGTTTCTAGTATTCTTAGCGACCCCTATCGTGAAAAAAATATACCACATTACAAACACCCATCTTAAAAAAGTTAAGTTTTAAGAAACAAAATTATTTAAGGTAATTTCGTTTCTGGGCACCGAGTATATTGTGAGTTCGTTTAAATTTATATTTAGTAAAGAGCGAACTTACTTTGAATCCAATATGATTAATCTGTCCACTTGCCAGATACTTCCCAGAGACGGAAGCAGCCACGGAAGAAATAATATTTGTATGTCCAGTCAAAAAATTCTGTTCCTTTGTCGTCCAGTTCTGTATTACTACCTTATTCCCAAGAGGATAAACCACGTGCTTTCCATTTGGATGAACAAGAAGTCCGTTTAACGTGCTACCTACAAGTTATAATTAAAAAAGAGGCGTATAATATATATTTTGAAAATTCACCATCGAATCCTATAATTCCTTTAACATTAAGCACCTCTACGTGCCCTTCTTCTAATTCGGCATCATCGCACATCGTGTTTGGAAATCGACTAAACTCAAGTGACAAGAAGAATTAAATTAGACGACGGACTCCGTTGCCATGGTAACATTGATACGAAGAAATATAATAGTTTTATTTTTTCCAACTCATTAATAAAACAAAATGTCTATATAGTTGTAGAAATTACATATTTTAACAATTTGGATAGTTACACAAAGGTTTGAATTTTAATAGTACCTATTAGAATTTTAATACCCTGTGTATATTCATTAAATACAATTTGATTATATGTAGTTTGGATTTTATGTAGGTATTAACAATGCACTACGCCTGCGTAGGATTTGATTTGAAACTCTGATATTTGACAGCTATAACGACATTTTGTTTAAAAAGTGTTTTATTTTTCGTTAAGTGAAATTGATTCAACATTTTAATCCTCTTTTAAATAATTCAACGAAATTTTGCGAAAATATGGAGGTAGTACTTCAAGTATGTCATTTCCACATGTTTGTACTGTTTGTTTATTTTAGGAACTATATAAAAGTTTCGACTTCCTTATTGAAGAAAATAGACGAAAGACCTTCAAAAAGTGGGTATTTAGCGACAGAGATATCTGCAATGCAGATAAGGTATGTAATTCATTACTGATGATTGTTGTCCTTGCTACTTTATTTTAATTGTCTGATGCGAATATATTAAAATTTCTCCGAAATGTGATCACTTGGGTTACTTTTGGTGATTTTGCAGATGGCAGAAGCTGGGTTCGTTTTCATAGGAGACAAAACCGAGCCAGACGCCGTGAAATGCTTTTTATGTAACAAATTACTGGATGGTTGGGAAGCTACAGATGACCCGTGGTTAGAGCACTTAAAACATGCCCCGAAGTGTTTATTTGCTAAATTTCAGAAAGCCCAAGGCAATTTGACGTTGAGCCAATTAATTGATGTTGTAGATGCTTTAACTGAGCAGATAATTACATTGTATTTTGACAAAATAGGTGATGAGGTGGAACAGAAATTTGAAGAATATGAACAGAAGATAATGTCTATGTTACAGGCTTTGTGAAGGTAAATTTTAGCAGCCTTCAGAATTCTAGCTTGTGTATTATTTTCTTTGAGTTGTAATAATATTTCATTTAAAAGTATTGCATGCAATTCGATTAAATATATGTTAAAATGTAAGTAGATCATAAATTATATTTTTATAAGAGAAAGTACAATTCTAAAAGTTATTATATTGTTTTTATTAAATAAATGCCTTCTAATTAATAAAAAATACTAATATCACTATTTCTAAATCTCGTGTAACACTTATCGAACAAGATAAGCAAACACATAGGCAAATAACATTGTCGTAATAGAAACGGCTACCGTAACTGCATCATTTTCCCCAATTCCTGGTACGTATATGGTCGACTTGTCGCCAAAACTTCCAGTTTCCGAGTTGGTACTGTCGGACCTGCCAGAGCCGCTATTACATAGGTCTGTCCTACAGGACCTGTAGTAAACTCTGTGAGTTTCGTCTTCTATGACTTCATTCAGGTAAGTTGGCGTGTCTACACAAGTTCTCAATATGGAGGCCAACTTTCCTCTGGGATCCTATGCGAAAGATTATGAAAAAACAAATGAGAAATGGAATATTGAATTATGGAGATGAGAGGAAATGCTTCAAAAATTTGTTTATTTAAAAAGGAAATGAGAATTATCAATGCCAGTAAATTTAAATAAAGTATTAAAAGAACCGACAAATCATTACTGACAATTGAGTGAAATTCTAACCTTATAGTCCACTCTGACGATGACACAATACTTTTTATCGCAGTCAGTAACGCCCCCAGTCACCGACGCTGGATCGCTCTCACAGGTAGTGTCAGATTCGTCCTCCGTAGTGCTGCAGGTGTAGCATTGCAAACCTTAAAACATTGAAATAATTCCATACACTTTAAAAGTATGACATATTCTATTACAATAATAATTTATTTCTATTGGTAAATTAAGAAAACGCTAAACTATACCTGCAGATCTATGAACCAAGAACAAAGTAAATATAAGTATGGAAAGATTTTTCATCTTGCACTTTTAATCCTATTGTACGTTTCGCTTTACTAAATGTTATCAATGGTTTTGCTCAAAATTGATAAAAATGATAAGAAACTCTATTGTTTTTAAATTTTAAGAATTGATAAATTGATTACAGATAAAATTGCCTCGGTATAATTTAATCTGACTTTTGTAGTAGAGATAACTGTGAAAGTTTACTTACTAATATCCTGTTGATTACAACCAAAAATGAAAGGAAAAAATGTTTTACAAGCACCGAGGTTTCAGTTTATATTGAACATCAAGATTGTAAATATACTAGATTTGTTCATTAACGAAATAATATTTAAGTACTAGGTATTTTATAGTAAAATTTATACAGGATGTATGGAAGCGAGTGAGCCATAATTCAAATGTAAAATAAATCGATTTAGATCAAATTTGCCTCTAGAACAAGTTTGGTTTTGAAAAGTTGCAGACTTCTAAAAATTGTTTTTTTATTCCGTCTACTTAAAATAACTAATAAACTATATTTCAGTGAAATTTTAAAAATACAGGGTGATTCACTATATTTTGACCACCCCAATAAATTTTTTGGTTTTTAGAGTTCTTTTCTTTTTTTTTAATAGTATCTTGCTTATTGTTAGAGATGGACCCAACAAACCCTATATGACTATGCTCGACAGAGAACGTTCTACCCAAATATGTAAAAATATACAGGGTGTTCCATTTAAATTAACAAAGTTAACATCCGCGGCCATTTTGTTTGGACTTCATTTGTTTTTGAAATATCATTTTCTAAAAGTTCATAAAAAGTCGTGCAATTTTTGTATTTTACATTTTTTTTATCTCTTAAAACAAAAAAGTTAAAGGGGGGGGGGTCAAAATATAGTGAATCACCCTGTACCTAAGTCTAAAATTTATTAGAGTACTATCTAAAAACGGGGAGTAAAGGCATTTTTTAAGAGCACATACATTTTTAAGAAAAGTAGAGAAATCGCTTTCCGATTCCTTGTATAGATGGTTTTTCCTAAGGCCGTATCATAAATTGGGGTAGTAGCTTTTTTTTGGACTATTGTAGATTAAAAAGCTCAGCGAACCGAGGATCTAAAGAAGCTAGTTTTCGAGGAAAAGGAAATTGAGTTTGAAAACATCACATTTATTCAAATTATTAAAATGTTTGATGTAGATGGATTATATTTAGGCTAATAGTTTATAGATATAATTAAAAACAAACATTCACTGAACGGGAACACAAATCTACCAACCTGCGACGGAAATACTTGGAGGCGCAGTTACTAAGAACCCCGTCTAAAGAGAGTAAGGAAAAATGCGCTGTTTTTATTTTTTTTAATTTTAAATTTAGCTCAACACAGCTAAGCAAATTTAAAATAACTAAAATTATTTCACAAGATGTATAGGAGTCTTTTGTCCCAAATAATTTTAAATATAAAGAACCAACAGATTGTATCTTTCAGTTGATTATAAATAAATTAATATTGCAGATATGTGCAACCACTTCCAAAACTCAGGGTTATCTCTCTCTTTATCTCTAACTTCGTTCAGAATGTTTTCGTCAGGAAAGCTTTTTATGAGCCTAGAAATCATCCTTTAAATTGTACTGTTCTTTATCAAAATACGACTACTATAATTTTCATGTGCTATCTGTTTTTAAAATAATTTAAATTTATTCAACCTTAGTCCAAGTTTTATCTGTTTATGTCAAGTGTCTTCAGTGCTTTTTAAATAAACATATTTTTTAAACTTCAACACCCTATACCTCGAAAAAACAGTTAAAATACTTATGAAAAAAAAAAAATTACTAAATGTGTTTTTATTTTCAAACAAAGAGAGTAGAAAAAAGCGTATGTGTCTTTATTTAAAAAATTCAATGTTCTGAATACATTTTTATTTTCATACAAAAAGAGTAGGAAAAAGCGTATTAGTGTCTTTATTTAAGGAATCCAATGTCCTGGTTGGGCTTGATCAGTTTCAAAGCTTCCCACAAGGCCTCGTTCAACCCTTGGGCCACGTTGAGCCCCAGCTTCAAAGATTCCACTAAGGTGGAGGGGTGCAAGGAACCGGTGCCTGTCTGCAGAACAGTACTAAATTTGTCCCCGGACACCGCCACAACGATTGAACCCACAGAACACTGTTCCTCGGCTACATTAGGGTCTACTATGCACTTTTCCCCAATTTTGCACACTGTAACCTTGAAAGTATAATGTTTTAGATTACTGTTATAGAACCGAAGGAATTTATTACCATTACTGGAGCGTTTTGTACGTCTAACCTTTGGCAATCGTTTAGATTGTCGGAGACGGTTAAATTTATATTATTTCCATCTGTATCCACCTCACGGATTAGGGGTACTTGGGTATTCCACAGCGCAGCCTTGACTGCTAAAGATACGGCATCGAATAAGTTGCCCCCACATTCCAGTAACTGAAACATCTATGTATACAAATCATACCATTAAGAGAAAAAACTCACCAGAATATCCACATAGAGCTTCCAACACTTCTTTCCTTTTACAATGCACAACTTTCTCAAATCAAATACTTTGGGAGAATGATATGATGAATTTAATGTGTTGGATATTTCTACGGCTAAGCCTTCCCCTCCTCGACCCTCAAAGTCCGGCGTAGCATTGGCAGAACTAAAAAAAGTAATGTAAAAACATAAACAATTGTATTTTAAATATAGTGTGTACCAATCGACAAAAAATTCCAGTTTTCCTTCATTTGGCCTTTCCGGGAAAGGAGAGTCTACTTCTATCTTTACAGCAACTAATACGTCAGTGTTTGCTAGTCTTAATCTTGCAGAGCCAAAAGCATGTGATACGATATCAGTTTCAAGTTCTATCGGTCTGTAATCTTCTCGTTCCCTTCCATCTATTCGAAAATTTTCCTAAAAAAAGATTGTAAGGAAGAATTTCTAATGCATGTAATGGTTGGTTTATAAAAAGTATGTCCTAATTTTTAAATTTTAATAATTGTTACCTCCACTCCATGCAACACAAATGTTTTCTCAGCTTCACAGAGACTCATTTCAAGAACATATTAATTTACTACATACATAATATCTCAACTTTACAAATGACTTTTAGTAATTATAATAGTATCATTTATTTGATTCGTTTGCAAATATTAACATAACCACAAAATTCCTATAACCTGAAAATAAAAATTAATTTTTAACTTTGGACAATGTGTAGATTGGATTCATCATACAAATTTGTATTATGGGTTGCATTCAGCCCGCGTCAGGCCGTGTTCTTTTATTCTTCATTTCGGTGTGGTTGATTAGTAGGTATAGCCCAAGGATATTTATAATACATGTATGTACATGTATTATAAATATCCTTGGGTATGTGTAGAGCCAACCAGAAATTAGGATTGCTTAAACAAACCAATAATACTAATACTAATCTATCGTACTGAAGAAAGTGAATAAACTGAACTGATTAAACTGGATATGATTAAACTAAAAGTGTTGTTTAAAATCGGATTATTTCAATAATCGGATATTCGGCATTTGAATGATTTCAGTAATCGAATAATCATCAGAATGATTAATCGATCCAGAAAGCGCATGCGCTAACATATTCGATTTTTAAGTTGAAGAAACCCACATGAACAAATACTTATTAAAATATTTTTCCAAATGTATTTTGCTACATAATAAATTTCAGCATAAAAACAAACCATACAACCGATCTCAGAAAATAGAGTTGCATTAAAGAACGTCGTTGGTTACCTGCTGATAGCATTGTCGACATATTTTAAACATCCATAATTAACTTTACAGCAAAGTGTACAAAGCAAACATATTTGAATATTTTGCTAAAAAAGTTTTTAATAAAGGAAAGTTGTAGCAAGATTATAGATACGTTTACAACAAACTTGCCAAATTAACGTTTCTTTGCAAAGCTGTTGGGTGGCCATTGTGACTTTGTTGCAAATTTCTTGCAAACCCGCCGTAAAGACTTTTACAAGTTTGCAGTTTTTTGTAAATTGTTGGCAATGTTGCAGCAATTTTATTATGCTTAGTGTTAGTTAGTTTTTGGCGAATCAAAACAAATGTATTAAATCAATATCCACTATCTATTTAAGATTTATCAAGGTGATTAGTAGTAATCAAGGTGAAAGTTCTTTTAAATAGAATAAAAATTAAATGTTTATTTTATTGTACTACAAGTATATTACGTGCATACATAAATTGAAACACTCTGTATAGGTAACGGAACAATTATTATGGCTGTGTTCAGCGAATGGTCGGACCGATCAAAGTCCTTCATCGGACAAATATTTTGTTGGTCAGCCCAATCAGCTGATTGGAAATATTGGGCAGGTTTTAATACAGTTACTAAAGACCGTTCAGCAAATTGTTTTACTAAAGAAGTTTGACGAACTAGTACGACCATTCGCTGAATACAGCCTATAACTGGCAGAGTAATTCTTATCCCCAAACGCCTTATTATTCTCCTTTTTAATTAATATACGTCGGGATAGTGCAAAAACATTGTTTAAGTAAGTAATATTTATGTTTTTAACCCCATATAAATAACAAATATCTCAAAAAATGCCATTCAGGCATTCTACTGCTTGAGCGGAGAGTTTTACATGTACAAAACAAGTGTTAAATGTTAAATACCAACATTTTAATTGGCAAATTTCCTGCTACCTTCCCCACCGATACATTAATCATCCCACTTGTTACTTGAGCAGTAACAAAAACTTATAATTAGAACAGCAGATCATCAAAGTGGGAAGTGTTTTCCAAGATTTATGCGTAAAACTATCTACTATAAATGTATATAGGTACGTTATGTAGGTATTATCTTAGCACGTATAATACCATTCATTGTTGCACCATTGTTGCAACATTCATAAGTACTTTGCTAAAAATATTCGGATGTTAAGCACGTGATCATGATTAAATGTAACTGCTTCACTTCCAGTGTCGCTCCATTAATTATGGCTAGAAATTGGCCTCAATGATTTGGGATCGAGGGGGATTATCCCTCTTTATCCTGCCTCATCTCGTGTAGGCCTGGACAGCCTTCGTAGGTGGGCCCCATCCGTCGTCTACCCGGACCGCAAATGCGGCCGGTGTAGGCGCTTTGTGGGACCTCCTTTTGTCCTGGCTGGGCCCCGCCGGCTAAGGCCCTTTCTTTTGGCGCTCTTCTTGCTTCGCCGGCTCGTCTGTGTAAACCCCGGGGGTGGTGTCATGTTTATGGTTGGGTACGGTAGTGCGGCTATGCAGCCTGGGATGCGCTTTGCTAAGGTGGCCCTTAGGCTAGCGCGGGAAGGGAGGGGTAAGGAGGGTATGGGGGGGTGTGTGTATGTGTGTGTGTGTCGTTGTCTTCGTTTCTTGATCCTGGCGGTCTCTGAAACAGAAAAGGTTACCGGGCAGGGGGGGGGGATGTCGTTGGGGTGGTCACCCAGGGTCAAAAAGTTGGTGTCTAGGTCTTTTGTGTTTGTCGGACACGTCGGGTACGTAGTCAACGGCTTGCCTGAAGAGGGGATTGTGTCTAGCGGCTACGTCAAACCGTTTCTCCGCGTTTTGTCTTATTGTCTGTGTAGCGTTTGTGTATTGTAAGTCTCGTAATATGTCAGAGTTTCTTACGTACCAGGGCGCGTCGGTGGCCGTGCGGAGGGCTATGTTTTCCACAGCCTGTAATGACTTTAAGTGGCTTTTTGCCGCGTGACCCCACGCCGTGGAGGCGTAGGTTAGCTGCGGTTGAAGTACCACCTTGATAAGCGTTCGCTTATTCCTTAAACTGAGGGTGTTTCCACCTTTGAGTAAGGGATAGAGCCTAGCCCTGGTGGTCTTCGCTCGCGCCACCGTCTCCACGATGTGCGGTTTCCACGTAAGACGCTGGTCCATCGTCACGCCCAGGTATCGTGTTTGTCTATTCCAGGAGATGGGTTCCTGGGATAGTGTCAGTCTGTTGAGGTTTTGTGGGATTTTTCGTTTGGTAAAAAGGATAGCCGAACTTTTGTTGAGATTAATTTTGACTCTCCACCTGTTGCACCAGGTTTCAAGTTGGTCTAAGGAGTTTTGGAGGAGGGAGACGGAATATCTAGGATCTACGGATTGGGATGTGATTGTCAGGTCGTCGGCGTATAAGTATATGTTGGTGTTGGGGGGATGTGGAATGTCGGAGTTGTAAATGGTGTATAGGTGTGGGGACAGGACGGTGCCCTGGGGGACACCGGCCTCCATGGGATGGGTGATGGAAAGGGAATCTTGGATTTGGATGCGGAATTTTCGGTGGTGTAGGTAGGATTTTATGAGTTTGGTAAAAGATATGGGATATTGGTTGGTGAGCATTTTCATCAGTAGGCCTTCATGCCAAACCGTATCGAAGGCCTTTGCGACGTCCAGGAAGACAGCACCAGTGTACTGTCCCCTATTGAAGGCCGCCGTGATGTGCTCGGTAAGGCGAAGGATTTGGAGTTCAGTGGAGTGATTGGGTCGGAAGGCGAACTGCTCGTCTGGAATGACTTGCAGTTCTTGGGAGTGGGTTCTTAAACGGGTTAGGATAATTTTTTCTACAACTTTGCTCATAGCCGGGAGCAGGCTAATGGGCCGGTAGTTAGATGGGATGGTGTGATCTTTGTTGGGTTTTGGGATAAGGATTATGTTTGCTGTTTTCCAGCGGGTAGGGAAGTGTCTTAGTCTGAGTGTCGCGTTTGTTATGTTTAGTAGGGCCATGAGGCCCTTGTGTGGTAGTCGTTTAAGTGTCGTGTTATGTATATTGTCGGGTCCGGGGGCTTTTCTGTTTTTAAGTCTGCGTATTGTCAGTCTTAGTTCGTCAGGTGTTGCGGGGGGGATTATGTCATTGTATGGCTCTCTGTCGACGCGTCGGGCCGCGCGCTCAGCTACTGTCTCGAACTCCTCGTCTTCGTCGGGCAGCTGAGGCAGTCTACACTGCAGTTCCAGGCTGTCGGCGAAAGCCTCGGCCTTTTCCTGGTTCGTGTAAACCACCTCCACACTACCGTGGATTGGAGGAATTTTACGGCGAGCGGTCTGTCGCAGGGCCCTCTGCGTTTTCCAGAGGCTGTTGTCTTGTGGATCTAGCGACTCCAGGTGCCTAGTCCAGTTGTACATTCCAAATTCGTATCTTATTCATTAACTTTTTCTAGGTCTGTGTTATCCTGGAACAACAAAATTAAGAAGGCAATAAAGTTTAATCTGAATGAAGCACCCTATGTGTTTATCTGTGAATAAAGTATAGTATGTTCCTAATTTTTGGAATATGATACAAATAAATTACCTATACTTGTAACAAGACTATAATTACCACCTTGTTGAGATTATACCTAATTATTTTTTAAAATAAATTAAACACTTCAGATCATATTTCATATCAACAAATTAATTAAATATGCAAATATCCGAGCTATATAAACAACAATATATGCTGGAGGCATGTAGTTTCTTTTGATCAATATGATGAGACCCTTAATTGTGTTATCTTGTTTATTGTCAGTCAGGTATGTTAAAAAAATACAATACTACCGAGCGTTAAAGACCCATACTTTTATTGTAAATAATGAAAAGTCACACATTTAGAATAATTTCTATAAAACGAGTATATTATTTTATAATCAAAAAAAAATAAAAATAAAATTTGCACAAAATAATTTAAGAATGCTTTTTTTTCATTTATTATTTATTAGATAAAATATAAAAGATAAAATATGAAATGTACCTTAGTAGTCCAATTTATTAAGTTTATGTCAATCTCTTGGGTAAATATAAAAACAGGTTATAGACTTTTGTATCTTTTAGTTTGGCGTGGAATTCAAATTATTTTCCCGACAATTTCAAATTTGGCGCTGCAACCGCCGCCCAGCAAATAGAGGGAGCATGGAACGAAGATGGCAAGACTGAAACCATATGGGACAGATTTATCCACCAGAATCCAGACAGGGTAGGAGATCATTCTACTCCCGACATAGTCGCCGATTCTTACCACAAGTACAAGGAGGACATAGCATTGGCCAAGGCTATAGGTTTGAACCACTACCGAATGTCCATAGCTTGGACTAGAATCCTCCCCACTGGGTACGCTGATAAAATCAACCAAGCTGGAGTGGCGTATTACAAGAAATTGTTCGCAGAGATGAAAGCAAATGGAATCGAACCCATGGT